CTTCTCCATCTCTCCATTTCTATTTAACTTCACATTCAATACCATTAAATATTGCTTCATGATCTTGCTTTTTAATTTCAATTTTATTGACTTTATCTTTCTTTGAGACTGCTATTCCACACAAGCCAAATTTTGCTTTTCCAGACGGAGAAATAAAACTCCTCCTAGCAATTTAATGGAACTCATTCCCAGCATTATATCAACTCCAAACGGTTGAAAATCCACTAAAATAACTTCGTCTTGTATTTAAATACCATCCACCTCAATAGTGACAGCCGCTAATCCATTACATTGATGAAATTTACCGCCAAAAGTTACTACCTTTGGAGGATTCTGGTATTTATGTTGTTTTCTTGACAATATTTTTTGATGTATAATTGTCTATGAACAACCCGTGTCTACCATAGCTGTTGCTAATTAACCATTCACTTTTAGATGAATAATAGACAGTGCGCTAATTCCACCATTGTTCATGAACGAGGTAGCGCACATTCCTCGCTCCGACACTTGTTTCCCTGCTTCATTAAGCATTTTGCAGCCACGTGTCCTTCATTCCCACATTTAAAACACCGAAAATTATTCTTTGCATATTCTTTGCATAGGGACAGTTTCTCGCGATATGATTTAACCTTTTGCAGTTGTAACACACTAACGAAACTTTTGTGGCTTGATCTCGAATAACAGCGCTAACAGCATTATCTACGCGTATACGATTCAATGCAGCTCTTACTTTGGGTAACATAACATCGATTGGATCCATAACAGCTCGAAATTTTGATAATAAATCTTCGGGCAATCCAACAACAAACGCTAATCGAATAGACTCTTCTGACATTTTAGCAAGATAAGCCAATCGTTTTAAGTCGGCCAAAAACACATCAACTTTCTCTGCATCATATAATTTTTGTTTAACAAAAAGTTTGTATGCCGTATAAGCATCTAAAGAGAACGCTGCTAACAAGACACGCTAAACTTCTTCTTCGTCTTGCTTATTTTCAGCGCGTAAACCATCGTATACCAAATAAGTAGTTCCTCTTAAAAGAATTGGAAAGAGTGACTTCAGCTTCACATTTTGCATTTCTGCAATCACTTTAGTTCGCTGTATCCAAACGGCAGCGTCCAATGTTCCATCAAACGTTTCAAACATATCCAATAATTTGATATTCGAATCCATGCCCGGTTAGCTTGTAATTTTGTCGCTCGAAACAAAACTTCTTTTCTTTCTAAAAATTGGTATTGTGGTTTATCTTCCTTCAGCTAATTGCCATATAGAGGCCACATTACAAAGGCCCGCAAAGACAGGTTCGGCTCCCCAAGGAGCGTCATAACCCGCTCTACGGACCAAGAGTAAAGTGAGTTTAGGAAGAACGAAGATATGTTATAGTGAAAGACAGAAGTAGTTGTGTTAGAAAGATAGCATAAAGAAAGCGGACAGGATTGCACTCGATGTTAGGAGGTGCAATAGGTTGAAATAGGTTCTTTCCAAAAACTTATTTAATAACTTGAATTCAACTCAACTACAAAAGTTTTACATTCATTTATATAATAAATCTACCCACGAAATCAACATTACAAAAACCGCTTAGTACATAACTACAATTAAAATAATTAAAAACTATCAGTAAAAGAAACCACGTAATCGTCGTAGAATGTTCTAGAACTTTCTCTACTTTATTTACTAAGGTTCCCTTGACAATGACCTTTTATCTCAAAACTTTTCTAGTCAAGATTTTCAAGATGAACAGGTAAGCTTAGTATAATTTATTGCTGTATATTTTAAAGTTTTAAGAATTTTATTTTTTATATTTTGTTATATCAAGTTCTTAATTTCGCAACATTTGGAAGACTTAAAACATAAAGATCAAAAACATATAATATCATGTTTTTGAATTATAAAAGGATCTTTTAATATTGGTAAGAGATCAATTTGTAAAATGTTGTCTATATAGATCCTTTTTGTTTGGGCAAGAAGGGAAAAAGGGGGGGGGAATAAAATGACTTGAAGTCAAGTCTCTCTAAGTCAAAAGATAAATTTAGATTGAAATATGATTTATAATCCTTTCTTATATGTAGAATTTTTTTTTTTTATGTACATTGTTGCAGATTTTAATGTGCATTTGTGCAGATTGCCACAATGGAGGATGGCAAGGAGACTATTGGTATTTTACATATTGAAGCTTTGGATGATATAGGTGATGTGCAACCTGTTGTCACTCTTCCCGATGAGGAACCAACTTAATCTACATCCGTCTGCAATCAACGAAAGAACTCTGATGATGAAAAAACTTTAAACAAAATAGCAAAAACTGAACAGCTAAGAACAAATGAAAAAGCAAATTTTTCTTTAGAATACTTAAAATTAGCAAATAAAAATCTAGATGTTCAAATCCATTCACAAAAGCTACGAATCAGAGAGGTTTGCTTACAAATCAGAGAGCTTGCTACGAATCAGAGAGGTTGCTTTAGAGCGTATGTACGACACAGTCGAAAATGCATCTCAAGCCCAAGTAGATGTTTCTAAAGCCCAAATAGAATATTATAAATTCTTAATGAAAAAATAAGGTGTTCTATTAGACAAGATCTTTTTAGTAATTATAACTGTTAAAGTCAAAAGGTCAATATCTTTTGCAACAGTATATTTGTTTCATACCTATACTATTTATATTTAATAAGGTTTTTCAATGTTTTTACTAAAACGATGGAAATATTATACAAGCCTGTAGATTAATCTCTACTTATATATGTTTTTTTGAAAGTTTCTACATAGCAGAGTTGAAGAAATGTTCTGAATGTTGATTGTATTCAAAAAGCAAATATGAAGCTTAATAATCTTCATACCATTTACTAAAAGATATATAATAATGAAAGAATGTTTAAAATTAAATTGTTTTTATAAGTATTTTTAAATATAAATTTTTTTTTGTAGTTTTTTCTTAAGCCTATTTTTTTATTTTATCTTAAGAAAACTTTTTTGTTTGTTTCTCAAATAAATTTTTATATTTTTAATCTTTGAAATTATTGTTTTGAAAGGATATATTGGCTATTTTTGCTTTGTTTTTCATACTTCGGGTATCGTTTTATATGTGAATGGAAACCATTTATACTTTTATCACTTTTTGTACGATCAAGACGGTTTTCATTTGTATTAAGTATCGATTGCATAAACAACAGTTTGAATAATTTATTTGCCTAATTCCGCAGCAAAAAACATCTTAATTGTATGAATTTGTTAAGAGTTTTTTTACAGAAAGGTTTTTATAAAAAATATCAAACAGATAAAGCTAATTTATTTGAAATAACTAGGTATCTTGGGCCCATTTTTCAATCTCCAAAATTGCTTTTTAAATAAATCCTTATGAGAGAGTTGAAATATCATAGCATAAGTTTTCAAAAACACCTGATTAAATGTTACGTAACTGTCTTATAAGATACTTTTATTATGTAGAAAATATTAAAGTAAATAAGTAATAGTGTAATAAGTAAAAATACTAATTAGTTCTAAACTATAGTAAGTTAAAAATTAAGCAGAAGGCAAGAACTTTAGGTAAAATGCAAACTGCGTACTTTTTAGCGAACTAAGACATTTTAATCAGCACAACAGTCATGATATTTAAAAACGTTTGCTCATAAGTTTTTAAATTTAATATAATGGTATTCGATACATTTTATTGAAATTAGACTGTTTTCTTCTAAATGAATTATAATTTAGCAAGCAATAGACCAGTTGCAAATGTTTACATTTTTGCCGTAAACTAACGCATGTGTAGTAGTTGGTAGGCAAAAGAAAATAAACGAAACATTGAAATATAATAGGCCGGGTGAATAAATATGAGCAATTGCTGTTACTCACTAATTGGTCAGGTTTACGTGAATAAAAACACGACCAATTTTGCTTAAGTTTTTGTTCACGTAAAACTGAGCAATTACTAAGTAAATTGCATAACTTTACGTGAATAAAAATTTGAGCAAAACTGCTAAAGTTCTTATTGAAGTAAAGCTGATCAGTAACCGAGTAAAAGCAATTGCTCATTTTTATTCACCCAGCCTAATGCCTGTATCTTGTTGTGCTTTTGGTTGCTCCAGTAGGAAAAAAAAAAAAAGATTGTTTAAGTTTTCACCGAATTCCATTTGGAACAACAACAGAAAAAGAAAAAGAAAGAAGGAATTTTTGGATCAGAGCATTTAAACGAGATAAATGGTCTGAAAAACAAATAGATAATGCTCGTATATGCAGTCTCCATTTTATATCAGGTATAGTATTATATACAATTGCTTTAAAAGATAATTCAATTATGATGTTTTTAATTAAAACATTTTAGAGGAAAGAAATCAAACGATTCATTACACCCTGATTACGTTCCCAGCATATTTTCTTTTAATAAAACTGAAACTAATACAAACGGAAAGTTTAAGACACGAGCGATCAGTTAATCGAAGACATAAAAAGATTGAACTAAATTACGTAGAAGATAATGAATTATCTGAAGCTGAATTAACTGTATTGGAAAACCCAAAAATTATTGTCGATAAAAGTACTAAAAACTAATACTTATAGTATCAATTGTTTTTAATTATAAATAAAGTATTTTTCTATAAAACTACAGTTCATTAAATTAAATCTATATTTTTAGGAATACAAACTAATGAAGAAGAAATTACATCATTAATTTAATAAAAACTTAACAATCAGATAACAACAAACTTAAAATTATTAGAGAAACTAAATTACTGGAAAGGAAGAGCAGCATGCGATTTTCATTCAGTGAAACTAAATTCTGGCGATTAAAACTTTATGACTGGTTTAAAAACGGAAAGATATTTAATTGGATTCTTTATCTTTTCATAGAAAATGTCACACAAGTGCGAAAAGACCTGAACTATGAAAATCACCTCCTCCTACTTTTGATGAAGCTACGACTAGGTTTATCAAATAGAGATTTCTCCGATTTAATATCAGCAGAGAAAATGTTACCAAAATTTTAAGAAACTGGATCCCTGCAATGACTAAAAAAGTTAAATTTCTAATTATATGGCCTTCGCTAACAGCAATACGACATAATATGCCATCACAATTTCTGAATTTTAAGAAATGTGTTGTCATAATTGATTGTACGGATATTTTTATACAGCGCCCAAATAATTTAGAAGCTCGAGCTATCACCTGGTCAAATTATAAAAGCACAAATACTATTAAGTACCTGATTGTTGTTAGCCCAGCTGAAGCAATAACATTTCTATCACATGGTTGGGGAGGAAGAATTTCTGATAAAGAAATTACGATAAAATCAGGTTTTTTAGATTTTGTAGGATATGGAGACAGTATCCTAGCTGATAGAGAATTTCTTATTGAAGAGGAGTTAGCATTAAAATGTGCAACATTGCACAGGCCTTCATTTACAAAAGGAAAAAAACAGTTATCTGCTAAGGAAGTTGAGGAGTCTAGAAAATTGTCTCACTTAAGAATACACATCGAACGTGTTATTGGAAGATTAAAGAGTTTTAAAATACTTTCAAGTGTTTTTTCTATAACACAAGTTGACTTATTGAATGATATTTTGATATCTATTTGTGCAATAGTTAATTTAAACAAAAGTGTTGTTTCTTAACCAATTATCAAACATTTTTCTATTTAAAATATAAAAATAGTATTTGAATACTTTTTTTTAACAAAATTATGTATTGAGGAAATTATATATTGACATACTTTAATTTACAATATATTAAAAGATAAATCTTAAAGTTACATTGTCTTATCTGAATTTAGACAGAGAGGACAGTACCATTTTCTTTTAGGAATTTCTTTTATTCCAATACAAGCAAAATGAAATCATTCATATTTGCAATTAATATTGCCACATGGAACCATTTGACCAAATTGTGCTTTTTTGACAAAAACAGTAGACTTTACTTGAATATACTGAATTTGGCAAACAACTCCTAGTCAATAATTCAGGTAAAATCTTCAAAGTAAACACATTACTTAACTTAACAAGCATGTCTTCACAAAACGGTTCATTCTTTGACAAGCGATGAGAGTAAAATTTATTAGGGGACCATATAAATAAATCACAATAAGGTAAATCACATACTAACATTTGGCCTTGCATTTCATAGTAGTAAGGGTGTTCTATTTTAATTACACGATTAGAATCCAATGGAAATTTTTTATCATTCTCTGAATATTCAAAACCATTTACATATTTGTAAGGGAATTTAATTTCCACAAGGCCTTTTTTATGACAATAACATTCTACAAATGCATCAGGACTTGCACCGACTTCAGGAATTTTTTTATTGAGATGCAATCCTGTCAAAGTTATTTTGAAATTTTTATGTTGTTCTGATATACATTGAAAATTTTTTTCTCTCGCTTTACCTTCATTTTCAGTTCCATACTTTGTAGCTATTCTTTCATTAAAAGACTTATACTGCAGGATTTTGTTAATAAAACTTTTATTATCATTTTTTAACAAGTGACATGTTTCTTAAAAGTAGGAAGCAGTAATCCTACCTGCTCTTTCCAACACTGTAAAAAACGTTAAGCAAGAGTTATTTCTGATAATCTGTCAAAAGATTTTTGAATATAACATTTTTTGTAAAGTTTAAATTGTTGTTTGCCTTTATTTATTAAAGCTTCTTGTGAAAATTTTGTTAAATTTGGTTCAAATAGATATGTCAAAGGTTCTGGGATACACGTTTCATCAGTTTCTTCTGCTGTATCAGTTTCACTAGAATACAAAAAATCAGTTTCATCAATACTTGTTAGAACAGCAGCTTCAAGTCCTATTTCTTTCAGTTCATTAACCTTGGACTTTGAAATACCAGCATACTGTTTATGAGAACAACAATTTTCATCAACATTCTTGGATATTTGATTATGAAGGGGTAACATATTTTTTTTTTCGGACAGCTAAAATTTATAATTGCTAATGCTGTTGGACTAACATGCTTTTTAGATCGATTCCATTGTAAACTTGTACAAGCAGTTTTATTGATTTCAAGTCTTATACAGGCTTCAATTTTAAAAAGTAGAGCTGCTATATGACTGCAAGCTGATCCAAATCTAAAAAATAGGTTATAAAAAACTTAGGTTCTTAATATATTAATTATTATTTCAAATTATTCATTATAAATTATCTTAACTAATATAATTCTAATTTAATATAATCATATTATAATCTTAAATAATCATAATAATTTTATGTTGTTAAAACAACCTAACTTAATTGTTAAAGTTAACATACCCATTTTATTTTACTAAAAAACTTAATCTTAATATCCAGCAACACAACTGCAGCTTCCATTTAAAATTTATCCTTTGGATTTGTGAACATAAATTCAAACATCATACATTGCTGTTTTTTCCCCTTGTCTTTGACTTGGTAAGACTTAAAATTACAACATTAATTTGGTTTAAAATTTATTGTAGTTGTATATCTTAGCTATATTTTAGATTTCACTAAAATTGTTTTTTTACCTTTGTTTTTAAAGCACAAAACTCAGACTCTTCATTTAAATCAACATAAAAAACATCTTGCACGTGTCCACAGATAAAATAGTTAAAAGCCTCAAGGGATTTATAGGCTTTCATACTTTCTTTGCTATATAAACTTTATGATTCTACTAAAAATGTGTATGTATTACCGTAACTGACTTCAGGAAACATACTAACATTGTTTTTCTAAAATTTTTCTTTGATACCATAAGGATCGGGGAGCAAAACATTATTTTCTAATGTCAACTTCTTCAAATAAAATTCTTTATCAGGATTAGCAAGAGAATTGAAGTAAGAAGACATTGCTTAGATGAAACTTTATTAAGTAGTCCGAATTAAAATTCTTATTTATTTTATATTTTTGCCTACCAACTAACGCGCATGCGCTTAAATTGTAAACATTTGCAACTCGTCTATAGATTTATGGTTTGCAAAAAAGTTTACATTTTACCAACTACCAGAACTTTAAATTTATTTATTTTTTCCGTTTACTAAAATAAAATTAAAGTATAAAGACTAAATTAGGAACAGGTTTAGAAATAGTCGGGTGTGGATTAGACTTACCACGACCTGTATTGTACAAGTCATGACAACTAGTGTATAATTAATTAGCATTGGAATATTCTCAATAAGTTCGGAACGGCCCTGCGCCGCACAGTGAGTCAAAATCCATAAAAAACGGCAAAAAAAAATCCATAGAAAACTTTTTCTAGAAAATAAATAATTAGTTTATAATGTCACGAAATACCACTAAAAGACAATAAATAATTTTTTTTTTTAATAATTTTTAAGATTTCACCAATTTATACGTCTTTTTTCGAGACTTAAAAAATTTATTTTATTTTATTTATCGGAAAACTTGTTCAAAAAAGTCTCGCTTTAGTGTCACTCTTTCAAGATTGATATAGGTAAAAACAGTTCAAAATTTAATTTGAAGTCATATATTTAAGATGTTTGGTAACTATTAGTGATGTACCGATATCACTTTTTTGGCCGATGCCGATGGATGGGAAAAGGCCGATACCGATGCCGATACCGATGAATTTACTAATTATTAAAAATTTAAAAATTTTTTTTTTTCTTTTTTTGTTCTTTATTACAATATTTATGATACAGATACAAATAATATAAAAATTAAAAAAGAAAAGTTAACAAGTCAAGATATCGTTAAGTAATAAAGAATAAAAATAATTATAAAGAACGCGAATATTTTTTTCAATGTTTTCATTCTTTATATTTATTTATTTTTGTTAAATTTCTTTTTATCACAAAATTAAATTTAATAATAAAAGTATATAAAGTTCGTAATATAATATTATAAATAAACATACAATATTACAATGTAAGAGTTCTAAAACGTAAAAACTAAAACATGTTAAATAGTTCATTAAAATAAAACATGTTAAATAATTGCATGTTGATAAAAAATAAATAAATAAAAAAGAATGTACATTAAATATATACATATACTAATATAGATAAGGGATTTTCAAAAATTTAAAAGTATATAAGTTTATTTTCAGTTAAAAAAATGAGTTTTTTAAAATTTTATTTAAAAGAATCAAAATTCATTCTTGAGAAAAATCTTTAGAAGTATTTGAAACTATTCTATAGAATTACTATTCCATAAAAATGGTCCGCGAAATGAAACAAAAAATTTTCCAAAATTAGTTTGAGAAAATGGTTGTCGAATTAAGTTATCGTTCCTTAAAATATATTTATTTTTATCTTTTTGTAAACACAATTTACAAAAAGAAACGGGTGATAGGTGGGTCTTGCATTTATACTTAAAACAAAGAATATTAAAAACATTCAACTCATATATATGGAGTGCTTTCATATCATATAAAAGAGGCTTGACGTGAGCAAAACGGTCCTTAAAATTTATAAGGCGTGCTACATGCTTCTGTTGCCGATAGAGAGGTTTAAGTTTACTTTTATAAGTGCTACCCCAAGCAATGTTTGCATAGTTGATATGGCAATGAATTAACGAATAATATAATTTAATTAAGGTATTTTTATCAAGAACGTTTCTTATTTTGTATAGTATGCCTATACTCTTTGAAATTTTACTGCACAAGTTAGCAATGTGGCATTTCCATGTAAGATTTTTATCGATATATGCACATAAAAATCTTGTCACTAAAACTCTATTAATAACTATGATATCGATAAATAGAAAAGGTAAGTTGCTAGGCAGCTGCTGCTTTTTACCATAAAGATGAAAAAGAATCCATTTATTTTTATCAATATTTAGTGAGAGTTTGTTTAATCTAAACCATTCGCACTAGTTCAATGTTCATATTGCTAAAAAGTGTAATAATGTTTTTATGAGAAAGAAATAGGTTAGAATCATCAGCAAACACAATTGTCATTAGGTTAAAAGCTTTTGTTAGATCATTAATATATATTAAAAATAGGAAAATATAAAACCATAAAACTTTAAATTGGTACTGTTAAACAAATACTTGGACTCAAATCAAAGCCAAACAATTATTTTAAAAGAAATTTTTAATTAGAAAAACTCACTTAAAAAAATATACATTTTTATTTTTTTTTCTACTTTGAAAAGAAAACTTGAACACAATTAAATTAAATTCAAAAAAATAAATACAATTATAGAGGAACGTTTTTGATTTTAATTTTAAAAAAAAGAAAATATGCATATGCAGTTTACTTAAAATTCTTTATCAATTTATTAGCAATTTAGATATCTAAACAACAATCATGTGCTGTTTAGACATAAATTATTTTAGGATAAATAAATTATTTTTAGAATTATTTTAATTTGTGATGTTGGATCCCCACCACGTCCCTGGTAGTACAGCGCTTAAATTGTTTCTACACACAGAGGCGTTGTTCATCAAGGTTTTTGTTTCTGAGTTATAAAGTTGAAAGAGGGTTGTAACCATAACTAAAGTATTCTTCTCAATTGAGTAGAATAGTAGCCTTTGTGGCCTTAGGGAGGTGAATTGAAATAAAAAAATTAAAAATTTAGAAACATAATTGGTACTTGGCTATACTTAAATACATGAAATAAGGCTGAACTATTTGCAAAGAAACTCTCTTCTAATCCGATTCTCGAATTTTATGGCCATTCTCTTCCTTCCA